GCCTGCACCGGGTCAGACTGCTTCCCTGCCTACTCCTACTCCTTCATTTCTTTCTCCTCCACAGGTGTTTCCCTGGCAAATCACTCACGTGTCTGATTCCATGTTGGCCTCTGCTTCCGAGAGAACCTGAAGGGGTCCCCTAAGAAATCAAGAAAATTCCACTTGGGCTACACTAGACTCCACTGATCTTGTTATCAGGCATAATGGTGACACTCAAGCTAGATGAATATTCAAGGCAGGGAAGGAAGAATGACCTTTGCCTCCCAATAATGAATGGCACAGTGAAGTGTATGAATTAAACCTTGGGGAATATTAGAGTGTCACTGAGGGTCTGGGTGGGACTGAGTGCTCTGTGAGCCTGTCGGTGAGGGTCCCTCTGAGGGTCTGTGAGGGCCAGTGGGGGACTGTAGTATCTGAAGAGTGCTGGGTGAGGCTGTGTGAGGGACCCCGTGAGGGGCTGGGAGGTGCTGGGAGGATAAGTTTGAATGGCACTGAGGGGATGTGCGTGTCTGTGAGGGTCTGTAAGATATGGTCTGACAGACTCTGTGAGGGTTGTTGAGGGTCTTTTAGTGTCTCTGAGGATCTGTCCTAGTTTCTGTTAGGGTCCCAGTCAGGTCCTGTGAGGTTCTGAGTGGGTCAGTGCGGGTCCCTGTGAGGGCCTCTCTGCATCTGTGAGGGTCTGCTTGGGTCCCTGTTAGTGTCCCTCAGGGTCTTTCAGGGTGTGTTTGTGGGTATGTGAGTGTCTCTGTGAGGGTCTGTGAGAGCCGCTTTGACAGACCCTGTGAGGGTTTCTGAAGGTCTCAGTTTCCCTGTAAGGTTCTGTGAGGTTTTCTGTGAGGGTCCGTGTGAGGTGCTATGTGGCTCTGTGAGAGTCTGTCTTGGGGCTTGTGTGGGTGCGTCAGGACCCACATGAGGGTGTTTGAGGATCTCTTAGTATCACTGTGAGTGTCTCCTTGAGGGTGAGAGTCCTTGAGTTTCCCTGTTTGTGTCTTTGAGGGTCTTTGTAGGTCGCTGTGAGTAGTGTGCCTGTATCTCTGCAGATCTGTGGGAGGGTCTGTGAGGGTCCCAGTGAGGGTCACTGAGGTATTGTGAGGCCTTGTGGGTGTGGGTCTGTGAAGGTGTGTGGAGGTCAGTTAGAATCTGTGCAGCTGTGTGAGGGTCCCTGTGAAGGCCGGGTAGGCTCGGGAAGGTATGTTTGGATCCCGCTGAGAGTCTGAGCGTGTGTGTGACGGACTCTGTGAGGGACTTTGAGGTTCCTCGGAAGGGTGCGTGAGACTCTCTGAGGATCTCTACTGGTCGCTCTGAGGTTCTGTTAGTGTCAGTTAGGGTCTCCGTGAGGGACTGTGGGGGTATTTGAGGTTTCCTCAGTGAGTGTGACAGTCTTTGATGGTCTGTGTGGGTCCTTGAGGGTCTGAGAGGTCTTTCCGTGTCCATGTGAATGTGTGTTTGTTTCTGTGAGGATCTGTGTGGGTCTGTGACTGTCCCTGTGAGGTTCTGTGAGGGTCTCTGAGAGGGTCCCAGTGAGGGTCTCTGAGGTTCTGTGTGGGTCTGTGAGGGGTTCTGTGGGTCTACTTGGGTCTCTGTGTTTGTGGGGGTCTGTAAAGGTCTGTGCGGGTCAGTTGGTGTCACTGTGAGGGTCCCTATGAGGGTCTGTGATGGTCACGGAGAGGGTCTGTGTTGTTCTTTTGTGGTCTTTCAGGGTTTGTGAAGGTCTCTGAGGGTACCTGTGAGTGCCTTGGGGGTCTCTGTGAGGTTCTGTTTGGGTCTGTGAGGGCCTGTGTGGTTCTGGGAGGGATTATTAGGGTCTGGGAGGGTATGCAGGGATCTGTGATTATTCCTTAGAGGTTCTGTGTGTAGGACTGTGAAGGGCTCTTTGACGTCATGTGAGGGGCTGGGGGGTGCCCTGTGTGGGTCTGGGAAGGAGGGTCTCTGATGGTCTGGGAGTGTCTGGGAGGGCTAGAAATGGTGTCTGTGGGGGTCTCCATTGTTGACCTTACCGCAGTCACGGCAGGAGAAGAGCACAGGGGCTTGTCTGCCCTGTTTCCTGCTGTCCCTTCAGCCCCATCTGTGGCACTTAACCTGCAAGGGTGTCGGTCCCCTATACCCCCATTCCCAGAACTCACCTCTAGGGGCCCGTGAGAGGACCCAGCTGTCCCGAGCCTTGGGGTCCCCTCTGTGCCCCTCCCCTGACCTGAGGTGGGGTCTCTCTGCCCGGGATCCCAGTCCCACAGGCCCTGGCTGGGCTCTCACAGGGGGCCCCTGGAGGAGCCAGGGAGCTGCACGCAGAGGCAGGACGCAACTCCAGGGGACAATGCGGCACCAGCGTCTGCATCCATTTGACTCTTCCCCACCGGCCCACATGGGGGTGGGGGGTCCTGACAGGCATGGGGCAGGGCTGTCCATGGTCCCTGCATCAGGGCTCCTAGAGGAGGACTCACCCCCGGGGGTGGCCCTGTAGCTGGCCCACTGCGTGTCCTGCATGTGGCTCAAAGTTGACATCGCTCCAGCTTTCCCATGGGGACCAGCCAGGGTGGAGGGCTGTAGGCGGGAGCAGAGCACACAGTGGGCCATCCTGGACAGGTCACTTCCAGCCTGTTGTGTGACAGATCCTGTGTGATGGCCTCTTCCCCCTCTGAGCCCTGGGCTGGGCAGCGCTGGGAGCCAGGTGAGCGTTGCTGTGGGACCCCAGGCCCATCCCTCACCCTTTAGTGTCCCCTGGGAGCCTTCCTTGGGCCATGTGTGGAAGTAAAGGTCACAGACCCTGAGTCAGTCTCAAGGACCCCAGCCCTGTGCAGGTTTATTCAGTATATTGTGGGAAAGTCAAGCTTCCCTGCCTGTGTGAGCCTGGCCCTCTGTCACAGGTCCCCGTGGCAGCTCTTGGGCTCCGTGGGCTGGTGTGGGTGGAGGCCCTGGGGCGGACTACCATGCGGGAGCCATGGGCCCTGAGCAGCTCCTCCCCTCTGAGCTTGTGATGGTGGTGGGTCTCCAGGGCTCCCTGCACCATTGGGGGGGGGGTGCACCGTGCCATTTGCCTCCATCCTCCCCTGTCCCCCAAAGGTTCAGGGTCCACCTTCAGATGGTGACTACACACAAGCTACACCAGCCTTGATCCCTGATTCCCCAGAAGGGAAGGTGTGTGTGGCAGCTCTTGGGCTCCGTGGGCTTGTGTGGGTGGAGACCCTGGGGCAGACTGCCATGCGGGAGCCATGGACCCTGAGCAGCTCCTCCCCTCTGAGCTTGTGATGGTGGTGGGTCTCCAGGGCTCCCTGCACCGTTGTGGGGGGCACTGTGCCATTTGCCACCATCCTCCCCTGTCCCCCAAAGGTTCAGGGTCCACCTTCAGATGGTGACTGCACACAAGCCACAACAGCCTTGATCCCTGTTTCCCCAGAAGGGAAGGTGTGGCCCAGCCCTCAGGACCTCTGTGCACCCCACCCGCACACCCTCAGAGCCAGGAGTGCATCCTCTTTCTGCTGCTCCTGAGTGGGAGAAAGGTGGAGGGAGGGGGATGCTGAGCTAGAGGGACCCCAGCGCACCACCGCCCCGGCTTCATCAGGACAGAAGGGGCTGCCGGGCAGGTGTCAGCTACTCCCCACAGAGAGCTCTGGGTGGAGAAGGTTTCCGGCACCTCTGCTCTCAGGCAGGCACTGCCCTGGGCACCCCTTGGCACCCTGACGGACTTGTTGGGTACTCTCTGGAGCCTATGGGGAATTTCGGCTTCTGTAAACTGCTCCCTCACAGCTGCACAAGTTAAAGGTAGAGAGCAAGCAGTGGGCCGGCTGAGCCAGATCCTGGGGTTCGGGGGCGCCTTACAGGTTTTCCTCATCTTGACAAGTCCGGAGTGCTTGTGTTTGCTTTGTAATGGGGCTCTCATGGAAACCTAAGGTGCATCGAGGGCAAGGGGCACAGGTGGGCATGCCACGCCACAGACATCCTCAACCTCCCTTTCCATCTCTTGGGAAGCCACAGTGGGGACGTGGGAAGAGTGGACCCTGACTCCTTCCCTTCCCACAGCAGGACACAGACAGAAGCCACCACCTCTCATGAGAAAAACATGTATTTGGGGAAACGATGGAAGTTGAGGTATAAAGGATCCATCAGCAACTAGAAGATGTGCTGACGTGAGAAAAAACAGGTTTTCTCTGCACTGTATGGGTCTTTTCTTGAAGAAAAGTTGTCCGCCGAGGAAACACAAGTGAATCCTACACTAGCTGAACAGGTGACACATAATTCTGAATCACACACAGCCTTGGGTGGTGGTGGGTACAGGCTGAGGCACCTGCCGCCCTTGGTCCCTGCTGGCTGGGTCTGGCTGGGCACCCCAGCTCACGGGGTGGGAAGGCCCTGCTGCCATCCTTGTCTCTGGCCTGCCTGCTCTTGCCAGGACTGCTGTGGCCCTTCAGGGTGGCTTGGAGATTGCAGGCTTTCTCTCTCGTCACCCTCCCTTGCTCTTCATAGGAGAGAAGCCTGTGGTACCAGAAGTCTGTGGCACCATGTTCTCCTGCTGGAGCCTGGAATTGCCCTTTGTGCCAATTTAACTCCGAGGGAGGACGTCCATGTTGAAGTGTGATCCTCTCCTCTGGGATCTGCCCCATGGCTGTCGCGATCCCCTGAGCCCTGGCAGCCCCGCTGTCTGGAACAGATCTGCTGTTGTGTTGTCCCTGGCTCTGGGCAGTGGCTGACGGAGGCCTGCCTTTTTGCTGGGGAACTTTACTGGAGAAAATTCCCTGCAGAAAGTGCTGTCTCTTTTTTGTGAAGTGGCTTTCTGGAGGAGCCTGTTCCTCCTTCAGTCCAAGCTGGTAGGACTTGCTTCTTATGGACTCTACTGTTTCCTTATCCTTATTCTTTAACATCCCATTGTCCTGGGAGGCCCTCAGTTCTAATTCTTTTCCATGCTGTCCTTGGTTGGACCTCCTACAGGCCTTTTCCTCACCAGCAGGGACAAACATCTTGCTCTGGTTCTTGTCTTGCTCCTCTGGTCTCCACGACCCCTTCAGCCCCTAGCTGCTCTGATGTGAGGCCCATCTACTCAACATGACGTCACCTGACACATGCACAGCTGACATGTCCTCACTGGACGTGCTCTGGGAGCCACAAAGAGATGTCTGAGAAGCCGAGCTGTCTGCAAGAAACGCCGGTGAGTGGCAGTGCTGAAGGAGCGCGTGAGCGTCGCAGTCCTGAAGAAGCTCACCAGGGCCACTGTCCAGAGGCTGCTTCCCAGACTCTACCTTCTTGTGGAGCTCAGAGTCACTGTGCTGTGCATCAAGGCGTGGCTCTTCCAGATCTTGAATCACATGCTTTACACTTGGCAGTGTTGGGATTTTACTTGTCCCTGGAGTCCCTGAGCTTCTCAGAACCACCCTGGTCATTTGGGAGTGGGCCGGCACACTGGATTCCAAGGTGGCTTTCCAAGCAGAGGCCTCCTCAGCCGCTACTGACCCCCCATCCTCATCAGCACTTGGGGACCGGGACCCAGTGCTGCCCTCCCATGCTGTGACCCTGTGGTGGGAATCTCCTGCGGCCCTGCCTCCGCTCTCCCCACTTGGCTCACTCCTGGCCGTGGCTGCAGCTGGGCTCAGCTCCAGGCTGGCTCTGTGGGCCCCCACGGCCATCTCGCTGTGCCACATTCTGCCCACAGACATGCACGTGGAGGTCTGAGCAGGCGGCCTGCTCTCCTGTGTGGTCAGAGGGGCCTCTGAGGATGCGTGGCCATTGCCAGGTGGGGTCTCTCCCAGGGCCTTCTGGATCCCCTCATTTGTAGGTGAGGGAGTGAGGAGGGGACTCACTGGGCTGGGAATCGCCTCTTTCTTTACTGCCTCCTCTCCCAGGGGGCACTGAGGTTTTTCCAAGAGCTGGGAAGATTTATTTAGCTGCGCCCCAGGTACACAGGTAGCTGAGCAGGTACAGGGGGAGCAGAGAAGGGGCGAGGGTTGAGCCTTTTTCGACTCAAACAGGTTTATGACCTTAAGGATCTTGAGGGGTGGGCACCACCTGTGCCTCGCCTGAAGCCTTGTAATATCTATCCCCAGATTCTGTTGTGTAGGTGGACTGAAGATGGTGAACCCGTGGGAAGTGCTTGTGTCGGGTCCCTGACTCTTGGAGGGTGCTTTATTCCTGGCTTCCCTGTGAGTGAGTGATTCTGCAGAAGGGTCCAAGGCCTGGCTGACAGCAAACCTGAAAGGATGAACACCCCCAGGAGTCTGACCCTCGCTGGTCTGCCCCAACTTCCTGCCCACATGGGCACTCAGGATATTTTCTGGACACATCTTGTCCAGGCCCCTTGTGGAGGACCTCATCAAGCCTCCTTCTGGCTCCACACAGTTCACTCCTGGAACCTTCGCTGGGGAGCTGGCTGAGCCCCAGCACGGCTCTTGTAGGATCCTCCACACACTATGCTCCATATCTTTGCACAGATCTTTCTCTGGCAGGGTCCTTGATGGGCACCTGGACTGCCAGAGTGCCATTGAGTCACATTGAGAGGGAGTTGGAGTGGAGTTTCGTGGTGGGACAAAGGAGGCCATTGGAGGTGGAGGGCAAGGCTCTGAATCTGTAGGATTTGGTGGGGCAGGGGAATACTTAGGTAGGAAAGGCTCTGGTGGCTGAGAGTCACTCCAGGATGAGTATGAATGGATAGAAACTGAGGTCCTCAGCAGGCCTGGTGAACTGCTGGAGGCCAGAGGTGGAGAGCATGTGGCTGGAGGAGCCAAGGAAGCTGAAGGGCACAGGGCAGGAGCAGTACTGCCCACAGGCTCCCCGCACAGCCAGTGGGCTCCTGCAGGCTCTGCTTCAGACCCCTCACTGGGGTGGGCTTGAAGTAACATCTGAGAGTCACCGTTGTCAGGGAGCATCCTCATGTGGCTGCAGAAGACAGGAGGCAAGAACTGCAGCCAGGAGCAGCCAGGGCCAGGGGGGCCAAGCAGGCCAGGCAGGGCTGGGCACCTGAAGCCCATGGCCCTGCAGGTCCCAGGCTGTCTGCACAGTGCTCGTGCTGTCCCCCAGGTCTGTAGTCACACCTGTCCCCACGTCTCCCCGACCAGGTCAGTCCCAGGCTGCCTATGGGAGGAAGGAGGACCCAGAGGAGACGGGAAGATTCTTTACCTTCTCAGAAGAAATAACCGGTCCTTAATCTCTTCCAGGTTATGAAGAATTTCTCTCCAAGCTGGAAAGCAAAAGATGGGGTCATGGTGGGGAAGGCAGGGACCTAGGGGTCTTATAGGAGCCTGAGTGCTACATTCCTTTAGGGAAGACATTGGGGAGCTTAGAGTCTGGAGCCTAAGCCTCGGTGTCCAAGGCCACAGGATCCCTGATGGCGATAGCAAGACTCATGACTGGGAATGCTTTGTCATTTGCAAAGTGCTTCTACATCCATTACCCTCTGCAGCCCTCACAGCCACCCTCTGGGGGAGGCATGGCAAGGGCCACCTCACAGAGGCACCTGAGGAGAGTTAAAACACCTTCACCACACGTGGACCTGGAGTCTCCCCTTCCTAATCCAGGCACTCTTGGTCCACTCCAGCCCACCCCGTCCGTGCTGGGTGACACCCATTTCCAGCCCCTCGCAACTTTATTCAGCACAGACTCTGGGGAGTGTCTGGGTTCTGATCATCCACCCAAGATCTCCCCACCCCCACCCATGAGGGCTCCCTTTCCTGAGGGACAGGCCCTGCTGCTGGCCTCCTCGGGGGTGTCCTGGAGCTGGGCCCTCCAGTGGGAGAGAGACAGGCTGACTCGGGTGGGCAGGGCCGGTGACAGAAGCTCACCTTTCAGAGATCCACTTCTTTTTTTATACTTTCTCTTTCCGTTTGGCTCCAGGTGATGCTGAGGGACCAAAAGCATGACAGGCTGGGACCAAGTCTCACTCACCTCCATAGACAAGCTGCAGAGGCTTGGTGTCTATACACATGACTTCTACATTTACCCAACAGGCCCCGAGGTTTCCTGTCCTTGTACTCATTTGTAACATAGATAAAAACATTTTCCCTTTTCCTTCCTTGAAGAATGTAAAGAAGGACTTCCTATGTAAGACCCACTCTGGCTTTCTTGGGTCAGTGTATTTCTGTGCTCAAGAAACACACACGTGCTCAGACCCACAGGCCCCTCTGAGCTCCGTCAGGCCGCAGTGCTGCCTCCCGAGGTCTGGGCCCCACTGCAGCCCCTGCTCAGAGGTGCTGTGGGCTCAGCACTGCCCTCAGGTCAGCCTGGATGGAGCCTTGCCCCAGACCCCTGTCCCAGGAAGGCAGCTGGGGGATCAGTGCTCAGGGGCCTATCCTCCTGCAGGCATCAAATTCTTAGGATCTCAGCCGCAGCTGCTGGCCCCTGGGTTTGGGACTTTGGCCTGAAACCCTTTACCCCACCTGGCTCCTGTCTGGGATCTTGGGAGAGATCCTCCTGCCAGAACTCGTGCCCGGCTTGGCTTATGCCTAGAAGGAGGATCTTGTATTCTTTCCTGAGAAAAGATATTCTCTTCTTTCCCATCCTAGGAGCCTCTACAGCTGACTCCAAAAAGCAGAAGTAATCATAGAAAAGAGAGACTCATATTCTGTCTGGTCTAGTCTAAGGGCTCCTTACCTTCCTGATGTTTCTATGTTTTCTAGGTGGTGGCGAGGCTGGATCACTTGGGAGGAAGGGGAGTGACAGGAGGAGGAGCCCCAGTCCACACAGGATGCTGATGAATGTGTCAGTCACCCAGGAGGTGGAGCTGGAGCTTAGCCAGGTAGCCAGAACGCTTTTCAGAGACAGGAGAAGATTCTCCATGGTCTGAATCGCACTGCTGCCCTTAGGCAACTGACCTCTGGGTATGTTCTTGGGCACAGCACAGCAGGCCCGCATCACAGAGGGTGGCCTGGTCACAAAGGTCTCCTGAGGGCGGGGGAGGGGACAGAGGAGCATCCTGGACCCCTGCCTGTGCCCATCCAGCCTCACAGATCCCTCCACCCTTTCTAGGCCTTCCAACAGTACTCTCACGTGTTAGAGATAGACCTCAGTCAGTTTTCTATTCATTTCGCCTGCAATTGAGATAACCTGAGACTCTGTTTTGAGATCTTGAGATTTATACTTGAGCTCCATCAATTTCATAGGTTTAAAAATCTGGAGTTGTCCCTGGAACTTGGTTAATTCCTAGAGATTTTTATTCTTAGCATTTCCACATGTTTCTGCCTTGTGTAATATCAGCTGAGACATAGAACTCAAATTTCTTTTATGCTGCTTTAGCCACGTGTATTTTAGTGCCATTTTGAAATTTTTATTTCAATCCATCTTTACTCTTTTTGGCTACAGGGACTTCAAATTTATTATTCAGATTTTATAAAGTTGAATAGGTATAAAACAAATTGAAATAGTTAAACATTCAAAGTAAAGTTTTCATGAATTTCTAGCACTTTTGTTTCTGAAATCAATAAAGGTTAAACTACACAAAAACTTCTGAACAGTCTGCGTACACACACACGCACACACAATTACAAAATCAATCCAAAAGTTTCAAACCTTGAGAATCAAGCATTTCTTTCAGTTCGAAAAGGCTTCCTTCAGTAATTATTGTAAGTAGAACTTCTAGTAAATTCCCTCTGTTTTTGTTTAGCTGGGAATATGTTTATTTTGCTTTCATTTTTGAAAGGTAGATTTGGTAGATGTGCTATCTTTGAATTATTTTTCTTTCTGCACTTTGAAACTGTCATCCAGACCCTTTCCTCCATTGTTTCTTTTTTTATTTGAAGTACAGTTAATATACAATATTACATTGGTTTCAAGTATAGAACATAGTGGTTGAACAGTTACCCTTATTATTAAATCCTCACCCGCACTAATATGTTTGTATCTGGCCACATAGAAAGATGTTGGAGAAACATTGGCTACATTCTCCATGCTGACTTCGATCTCTGTGAAAAACTTATGATGGAGATTTGTTTTGCCTCTTTATCCCCTTCACCCACCCTAACCCCTTTCCCATGGTAACCGCCAGTCACTTCTCAGTGTCTCTGAGTATACTGCTGCTTTTTTTCATTTTGTTTTACTTCGTTTTTAAATTCCACATGTAAATGAAATGATACGTTAACATTGTTCCTGAGTGGAAGTCTGTGCTCAATCTTACTGTGGTTCTCTTGTTTATGAAGAACAGTTTTTCCCTTGCTATTTTTAAGATTTTCCCTTTGTTTTTACACAGTTTGACTATGATGTGTCTAAGAGTGGATGTGTTTGTTTTTCTTTTACTAGATGTAAGTAAACACTGAATCTGTTAGTTAATGTATCCTATCAAATTTGGTAAGTTTTGGGCCAGTATTACTACAAGCAGTTTTTCTTCCTCATTTTCTCTCCTTTCTTTCTGAAGATTCTTTCTACCTGTGTTGGTGTGCTTAATGTCTCATAGGTCATTTCATCTTCAGATTACATAAATTCAGTTAATCCATCTTCAAGTTTACTGATTCTTTTGCCATCTCAAATATTGTTTTACTCCTCTAATCGATTTTTCATTTCAGTTATGATAGTTTAAATCCAGAATTTTTCTATTTGGTAGATGTGAAATCTGCCTCTTTATCCCTTTCTGCATTTGTTTTCTCTATTTGTTGATTTAGTCACCCCACTTTCATTTAATGCTTACATTACTTCCTTTAGTTCTTTTCTTTGTAGTTATATTTTGTATTTTATTTTTTAACCTTTATACTAGAGTTATAAGTGATTTACCCACCACCATTACAACATTAGAATATTCTGACTTTAACTATATATCTACCCATGAGCTTTAAACTTTGATACATTTTCCCCTTACTAATTAGTGCATTTTTAGCTTGAAGAATCCTGTTTATGTTCCTTGTGAGGCTGTTCGACTGGTGATGAATTTCTTCAGCTTCTCCTTGCTAGAAAACTCCCTATCAGTCCTTCAATTCTGATAGACAACTTTGCTGGGTACAGAATTCTTGGTTCGTAGTAATTTTCCTTCAGCACTTTTAATATTTGTGCTACTTTCTTCTGACTGGCAAAGTTTCTGCTGAAAAATCTACTGACAGTCTTACAGTGGTTGGTTGTAACAATTTGCTTTACTTCTGCTGATTTTAAGTTCTGTCTTTGTCTTTAACTGTTGACAGTTTAATCATAATGGGTATTGGTGTGGGGTCTCTTTGGTTTCATCTTGTTTGGAATTTTATGAGCTTCCTGGATCTGGATGTATGTTTCTTCCCCTATGTTAGGGAAGTTTTCAGCCAATACTTTTTTGAATAAACGTTCTGCCCTTTTTTCTCTCTCTTCCCCTGCTGGGAACCCTATGATGCATATATTAGTCATTTTGATGGTGTCTCATAATTTCCTTAACTATTTTCACTCTTTTTCATTCTTTTTTCTTTTTCTCTGATTGGATGCACTTCACTATTCTGTCTCCAAGTTTGCCAATCCTTTCTTCTGCTGTTGAACCCTGTATTGAATTTTTCACTTTGATTATGTTGGATTCTCCCAGAGGAGGACGCCGCCCCAAATCACTCACGAAAGGCATCTCTTGATGCAACAAGCAAGAGGAATTTATTCAGGAACCAGCTAGCTGGGGTCCAAGTTAGCCCGACGCAGCGGGTCTCAACAAGGACCCTGAGCAGTCAAAGCCGGAGGTTTTTATAGCATTGTCTAAAAAGACAGTATTGTTCTACAAGCACGTAACAGGGTTTTTTTTCCAAGGACACATAAATCTTCGGTTGGCGCCACATCCCGGGGATTTCATCCCGGGGGTTTCACGAGATAAGAACACCCTCAGCCATACAGTGTTTCAGCAAGATAAGCTTGGTATGCATGACTAACCGACTAAGGTTAGCTGTCTGAAGGCCGCAGCTGCCCACCACCTGGTGTTTATGATTAACTTGTTTTTCACCTTGTTTTTCAAGGGCTTTCTGAACATATTCAGAAAGTGGCCTCTGAGCTTCTCAAGATGGCTGTGCTTAGGCTAACAGGCTAACCTGTTGTCTTCACTGAATGCTTAGATCCTACAATTATTGTATCCTTTAGCTCAGTGATTTGTGTTTGGTGCATTTTTGTATTTTCTGTCTCTTCATTGAAGTCATTGCTTTGTTCATGCACTTTTGGTGAATATTTTTATGACCATTATTTAAAATTCTCTATCAGGTAAATCATTTATCTCCATTTTATTAAAGTCTGTTTCATTAAATTCTTATTCTTTTGTTTGGAATACATTCCTCTGTTTCTTTTTTTTTTTTCCTTTACTCTCTGTGTTGGTTTCTGTGTATTAGATAAAATAGCCATCTCACCCAGTCTTCACAGAGTGGTAACATGTAGGAGATTTATCATTCAACCTGGCCTGAGCTATTAGGTTGTCTCTTAAACCTCTTTGGTTTCCCAACCCTCCTACTTTGTTCTTGGTGCCTTTCAGTAGTTAAGGGAGTGCAGAGACTACCTGGGTTCCACTGGGGAGGACTGCAACTAACACCTAGATACGGGTTGATTGGAAGCTGAATCCTCAGTCAGC